AAAAAAAAAAAAGAGTCAAACCTAATGTGAATTGTGGCCTTTAGGTTAACAATAATGCATTAAAACTGGTTCATAAATTGTAACAAATGTACAATATAAATGCAAGATGTTAGAATTGGAAATAAAACACTTTACAGAGAAAAAAAAAAAGAGCACAATGCATAACACCTTGAGCCATCAATGTTACTTTTTTTTAAATTATTGTTGTTAGATGCCATTGAGTCAAGTATGACTCATAGTGGCCCTATGAGCAACAGATCTGAACCTTGTCCTATCCTGTGCCATCCTCAAAATCTCTGAAAGACTTGAGCCCATTGCTGCAGTCACTGTGTTGATCCAACTGGTTGAGGGTCTTCCTCTCATTCACCATCCTTCTACATTCCCAAGCATGATGTCCCTCTCCAAAGAATAACCTCTTCTAGCAAAATGCCTGAAGCATGTAAGATGAAGCTTTATCATCTCTGCTTCCAAAGAGAACTGTGGCTGCACCTTCTCCAAGACATATCTCTTTGTTCTTTCAGCAGTCTGTGAGATATTCAGTGCTCTTCTCCAACACTACAGTTCAAAAGCATCAATGTTTCTATCATTCTTATTCTAGCTCTTAGATACACAGCAAGTGACTGAAAAGACAATGGCCTGAATCAGGCACACCTTAGTCATCAAACGAACATCATTGTTCATCAATAATTTGGAGAGGTTCCTAACTACAGCTTTACCCAGTGCAATATAGCCTCTGATATCCTGACAGCTGGTACAAAGTGTATTGACTGTGGATCCAAGTAAGGTGAAGTCATTGACAACTTCATCATATTCTTCATCTATCATGTTGTTGTCTATTGGCCCAATGGTAAGAGTTTTTTGGTTTTTTGTTTCTTTTGGTAGTCCATAGTATATTACATTTTCTTCACCAATATCATAGCTCAAAGACATCAATTCTTCTGCAGTTGTCCTAATTCATTATCCAACTTTCACATGTATATGAGACAATTGAAAATACCATGGCTTGGGATAGGCATGCCTTAGTGTTTAAACTGACATTGGTCTTCTTTGGCACTTTTATGAAGTACTTAAGAGCAGATTTTCCAGTTATAATATGCTGTTTGATTTTGACTGCTGCTTCCATGTGTGTTGACTGTGGATCCAAGTAAAATTAAGTTCTTGACAATTTCAATCTTTTCATTGTTTGCCATGATATTGTATACGTATATAGTTGGTATGATTTTTTATTTCCTATATTGAAGTATAATCTATACTGAAGATTATAGTCTTTGAGCTACATTAGTTAGTGTTTCGAGTCTGTTTTCTAAAAGTAATATAGTATCTTCTGCATTTTGTAGGTTGTTATTGAATCATCCTCTGATTTCCATGCTACACTCTTCTGTGGCATTCCAACTTCTCAGATTATTTTTTCAGCATTCAGATCGAATAAATATAGTAAACTCAAAGTCTGAGATAAAAGTAAGTGTTTCTGCAAATCATCAAGTAGGAACTGACTCATAGCTGACCCGGCAGTGGGTTTTCAGAGACAGTAAATCACACAAGAGATTGCCCATCTTTCTCCAATGGAGCAACTAGTGGATTTGAACTACATGTCTTTACATTAGAAAGCATAATTCCTTGCTTCTTAGTCACAAGAGCTCAAAGGTATAAGTGAGAGATCTTAATATAAAAGAAGAAAAATAAGTTTGTCTTTAGGAAGTGGCTCATGACCATTTAGAAGCTAGCAGGTCTCACACCCAGGAATGATGGGCTTGCAGAAAATGAAAGCCTTCAATAATAGGTTATACCCCAACATAAAGAAAAGTTTAGTATCCTCTGCAGTTGGTCAATAGGTAACATCATGTTGTTGTTGTTGTTCTTGTTGTTATGTGCCGTCGAGTCGTTTGCGACTCATAGTGACCCTATGTACAACAGCCCTAACCCCTGCTCTATCCTGTGCCAATCGCACTGCCTCTGACACACCCATCCCAATTACCCAGTCACTGAATAGTTAGAGAAAATATTGACGTTGTCAAGAATTTCATTTTATTTGGACCTAAAATCAACACTCATTGTAGCAGCAGTCAAGAAATCAAAAGATGTGTTACACTGGAGGAATACTATGAAGGATATACTTAAAACTCTAAAAAGAAAGGATGTCAGCTTGATCTAAGTCATGGTACATTGACTTGCTTCATATGCATCTGAAAGTTGGACAATGAATAAAGAAAAACTAGAGCATGAGTACCTTGAAATTGTGGTGTTTATTGAAAGTAATGACTATTTCATCAACTGCCAAAGGAACAAACAACTTTGTCAAATGGAGAAAGTAAAACCAGGGTGTTCCTTAGAAGCAAGAATGGTGAAAATTCATCTCACATATTTGGGCATGTTGTCAGGAGGGGCTAATCCTTGGAAAAAGACATCATACTGGGAGGCTGGAGGTCAGTGAACCAGAAAACCCTCAACGAGGTGTACTGACATAGTGACTATAACAATAGTCTTAAGTGCATGGCAGAGATTGTGAAGATATCACAGGATAGGGCAAAGTTACTGTGTGCTGTTCATAGGGAAACTATGAGTCTTAGTAGACTCAACAGGACCCAACCACAACACACAGTTGAATACCTTTTCATAGTGAATAAAATACAGGTAAGGTACTTTCTGATATTCTCTCCTTTCAGCCAAGATCCATCTGATATGAACAGTGATAGTCTTCGTTATAATTCTTCTGAATCCAAACTTAAAAAAAAATTCTGGTGGGTCTCTGTCATTGTTCTGTTTCAGCCATTGCCAAATATTTTTGGCAATACTTGCATATGATATTAATGTTATTTCTAGATAATTTCTGCATTCTGTTAGATCATTTTTTATGGAATGAGAACAGATATTCATTTCTTCCAGGCAGTTGACTTGACAGTTCTCTTCCAAAATG